TCAAACACCAGGGAGGGGGAAAAGAGCTATTTGAAAGCTAAAGGACAATGCTGGCACAAAAACAAATGGGTATAAATTGGCCATGAATAAATTTAAGCTTGAAATTAGAAGGAAGTTCCAAACCATCAGAGCAGCACAGTTGTGTAACAGCCTCCCAATCAGCATAGTGAGGGCCAAAAAAATCTAACTAATTTTAAGATGGACCTTGAACGATTTAAGAAAGGGTTATGATTAAAATGTCCTTCCTTCCTATGTTCTGCTTGTGAACTGAAGACATGAAGGGCCTGATACTTTCACCACCTCTTTTCTAGTCTGATTAGCAGTATTTCAGTGGGGAAGAGGGTATCAGGGGCTGGGAAATCTGCACAGTGAAGTTAACGTTCGGAGAAGAAAGGAGGAGACATGCATTGACCTTACTTTATACACAAACCAACACATATTCCTTTTTTGTTCCACAGGGAGAAGAAAGAAAAAGAAAGGAGTACTTAAAACTTGCACAGTAGGCTAAGGTCCTTTATCCAGAGCAATGAGTATGGGTACTTTGAGCAATCCCTTTTAATTATGATGGACTTCAAGAGTGCAATTGTTTAGCTAGAGTGTCTAGCTATATAATAATGCTCTTGCCTTTTATTTCAAAGGGGAGCTTTGGAGTGCCTGTCTGCTTGAACGAATCCCAGGTTACGAAGTAATGGATATAATATGATTGAGAATGAAGGTGACCTATAGAAGCATGGTAAATACATGATTTTCTCTGCTCAGCAAGTGCATTTTGATTACAGTCCAGCATATGCCTCTGGTCTCAAGATGCTGTTAGCATTCTTGGGAAAGCTTGTGAAAGGACAAAGTGCAAAGAGCTATAGGAAAGAGAAACAGGTTCCAAAAACCCTATTTATACCCACACCAAATGCAGAAAATTGAGGGTGATGGTTGTAATCTTGTCTGTCCTTGTTCTGAGTTGCCTGTGTTAGTCTGTCATAAGAAGGAAAAATGACTGTGGATCAATACAGCTATCTGCATTGACATTGTCACATTTTTTTAAATACACTAAATGGATTCTGAGCCTTCCTAGTTAACAGTCTTTTCTGCCTGAGGAAAGGTATGTGTTTCTAAATGTGTATTTTGCTGCCAAATATAGACTTACACTGAAGGGGTTAGTAAGGAAGCACTTTCACTACAGTCAATGGCCCACATTCTGGTCTCAGTTACAATACACAGGAATGAATCTGAAGTAACTCAGTCAAGTTCACTAGACAAGTCTCTAAAATTTACCACAGCACATCAGCAATGAGTACAACAGCACTTCCCTGCACTGCGCTGGTCAATAAACATCTTGGTAAATACAGACCCACTGAATCGTGCAACATGTACACATTGCACAGCTACAGATTCTCAGCTGGGACTTGATTCTACATTCATTGATTTTTATGGCGATGATCAAGGCCCTGATGTAAAAATTGTTCTCAGTGGAGTTATGCAGATATGCACTGGCTGAAGGTTTTGGCCACTAGGAAGTGTCAAAGTACATGATCATACACTAAAAAAATATGTTAAAGCCCTGTTATTTATTATTTGTGTTAAAGTAGCCACCAGACCAGGGAACCTTTATGCAAAGAGCTATACAGGTATGTAATAAGACAATCCCAATATAAGAGCTCAGTTTTAACATAAGAAGAATTGTTTGCAATTTTGGCAGGAAAAAATTATTCTTCTTATGGCCCTTGTTCCCACATTGGCATACAGTGGTGATGCATAGAGGGTGCATGTGCACCCCTTGACAGGCCATGTTCCCCGCTTAGGCGACGGGCAGAGGGGGCAGGCAGGAGCACTGAAGCCCCCCTGCAAGTGCCAGTCGGGGAGTGGGGGCAGCAGATGAAGCACCGCGGCCGCTTCCTGGTCAGCGTGATTGGCCGCGGTCAGTGAAATTGGCTGCGGGAGGATCTCCCTCACCCGGTTGGCGAGATTGGTCGTGGGGGGACTCCTCCTCCCCCCCGGCCACTGACTGGTTGTTGGGGGGGGGTACATGCCTCCCCCTGACTAAGGTGGCACCAGTCGCCCATGTTGGCATGTATTCATTGTTACAGAGTGCAGCCTTAATACAGTTTTCACTCTATTTTTATAGTTTTAAAAGATCTTCTAGAACAGTGGGAGTGTCACAGATTAGCCCCAGAATGGCACCCTCCATGAGTGTCATTCTGATCCTCTTCCCTGCCCAATCTGCTGCTCTGCTTTATGCTCCCTGTCCTATCTGCTGCTCCCTGCCCTATCCCCAGTCTGCCACCTGCCACACCTGTGCCACACAGGTTGTAGCTTTGCCATCCCTGTTTTAGGGTTAGCAGGAAACACAAGTTACAGTTGATTGACCCAGGCATGGATAGCAAACCATGAAACATGAGAGTTCCCATAATACTGTAAGTCACCTAAGGACAACACATTCAGTTTCTTTTAGTTTGTACATTAATATATCAGGACATGTTATTTCTAAAATTCATAACTGTATAACTCAGTTTATTACATATTTGTATAGCGCCTAATGTAATGAGACTCAGCCAGGTATTAATGTAATGAAGCTCAGCCACTCTGTAATTGTACAAAAATAATAAGGAAGAAGATTAAAAATAGAAACCTCTGATGTGTTAATTTTACAGTATTCTTTTTAATTTTACCAAGCAAAAATTAGATCCTTTACAAAGAAGAACCTTTGATGGCCATTTTACTTACTAGTCATTTTTTTTTTCAAACTGAAATAATTTCTTGACCCATTTCCCTCTGCAGTGTATATAATGAAATACACCTGTTGGGCTGGATCCTTTAAGCCTGATATATAGGCAACATTCACAGAAGTAATTGTGAGTTTTCATTAGTGGTTCAGTCCAGCATTTCTACCCCATGCAAAACCCCTGTTTATGTCAACAAGTGCTTTGCATAGTGGGCTTGATCCAAAGTGAAGTAAACATGACTCTCATTGTCTCCAGTGGGTATTGGATCAAACCCAAGGAGAACCTTGTCCTAATACAACTCCAGTATGGTGAAATGCCATTCATTTATAGGGATGAAGAGTAGAAATTTCAACCTATCCTAGTGCATTGGAAAGTACAAAGAGAGAACCACCACACAGATAGAAATTACTTTGATTAGAAAGGAGGCTATTTCTGTGAGGTACTGAACAGCTTCAACTACATTTGCCTTTAGTGGGCACTCAGAACCTCGATCCTTTGCACCTTGATGGACTGGTCTGTCTAGAAGGCCCTTCTTCCCCTTTTGTACCTAAAACTGAAAAAGCATAGGATACTCATTTCTTCTTTTTAAAAAAAGGAGAATTGCATTTCAAAGTGGCAAGACACCAACAGATCATGATGGTTTGTCTGCAGTCTTAATTTTTCAAAAATATCCTTTATTCACTTAAAAATGTGAAGAACTTTTTTCACTTGTTTCTTGACTACAGAAAAAAATAATGGAACAATTCTTCTGTTGCAAAGACCACAACAGGGCAGAATTATTTTAACACTGTGGATTCCTACTTGAAATTGCTGGGTTTATATTATGAATTATGTTTGCACAGCTAAGTGTCACAGCACCCTGATTGAGAGTTACTGGTCTAGAGGGAGATTGGACTGCATACCCCTGGAGCTTCAGCAAGATGCCTTAAAATCTCTAGCACTATCTCCCTAACCTTAGCAACACAACTGAATTTTTTCATAACTTCACACTGGTATGGGGAACGCTCCATACATGATTAAGTAAGAAGTGAAGTGAAGTAATAGTAAAAAAGTCCCTTTGCAGTCTTTGAATGCCAGCCCTGCCTATCTCATCTTAACTGCAGAGGACTCCCTCTGTGTTGTCCGTGTGCTCAGAAGCATGTCCTCCAGGAATGGCTGTACTTCTAAAAGTGACCTCTCCCTGTCAGTGTGAGCGTTTGTAGTGTTGTCTGACACTACAAATACCATTCCTAGAAGCCTGCATTATGTGAGGGCAACTTTCTGGAAAAACAAAAAATGATCATGGTAGCATTAACCAAGGTTCAAGGAGATTTCTCTCATATCAAACTATTCCCCCAAAGCCCAGAGCTGGAAAGAGATTCCCTTCTGAATTTGTGATAAAGACCTTAACCCAACCAAAAAAAGGGGCTCTCCTGGAAGAGTTCATGCCTGAGTTTGCACAAGCCTAGCACGTAGTATATCAGGACCCTTGGGAGTTGAAGTTAGTTCTATGAGGACCTTCCTCAAATCAAGATGCACATTGTCAAAGCTGCTAATTTACTTCTATGATAAATTAAATTTAAAACTTTCAGTAGTTTGTTTTCTTGTTAATAGTTTGGCTCTTTTCTGCATGGGATTTTAACCATCCGGTTTTAGCACAGACACTGCTGTTGCCAGTTTGCCAATGAAAATCTAGAAAGTTATAAATAAGAGATTATAGCAAGAGGATTTTAATGGTTGCTATAAATGGTTTTGCTATAAGGCAAATTCATTCTCCTCTGCCTAAAATATGTTCACCTTGCAAATGGCTAAGGACACTTGACATGCCAGAAAAAGGTGTTCAAATTCCCCTTGGAAAACATGTACAAGCACTTTTCAGCAATAAA